GAAAGACATAATTTTTTAAACCTGGCATCTGTCCAAACTATCCTTTTCTCAAAGTGGTCCACAGTTAGTCCATTAGGCCAAGCCCCAGATTTCATGTCTTTGTAGATGGTCCTTCTTCCAGCACCACTCATAGAGGCAGATTCGATGCGAGGAAAATTGGCATCCCAGTCTGTCCAGAAAAGAATTCTGAAGAAAAAGAAATAATGCTATTGTTTCAGTCATTCATTTCACAAATATTTATTGAGTGCCAACTGTGTGCTAGGCACTGGCTAGGTGAGAAGTCACAAGAGAAACAGATGTATCATCTACCCTTAAGGGGCTTAGAATCCAGTGGAGGAGACAGACCAAATAAATGGATGAATATATAATTATGACTTGTGAAATATTTTGGAAAACAATTTGTTGTGATAAGCAGATGAGTGACCTACTTAGAGAAGGTGATCAGGGAAAGGCACCTTGAGGACATCATATTCAAACTAAAACTGAAGAACAAGGAGAGCAGTATAAAGGGCATGGCAAGCATAATCAACAGCGTATGCTAAGGCCCTAACAGGGAAAGGGACGTGGGCTATTTGAGGAACAGAAATGGGACCAATGTGTCAGAAGTGTGGTAGGTGAGGTGGAGTGGGCAGGAAGATGCAGTTGAAGAGGGTAGTATTATGAGTCTCGTAGGGTAAGGAAATTATTTTGAATTTTCTTTCAAGGAAATAAGAAGTTCATAGGCCTTTGAAGGCTTTCAAGCAGGGGAGAAACACTATTCTGTATATATAGCAGATAGATACAGCCATGATGATTAGACTGTATATCTGTATAATCTGCAACATGTACAGATTATACTGTACCAGATTATACAGATATGCTGTTCAATCACTGTGGCTGTTATGTAAAGAATAGATAATAGCAAGACAAGAGTATGAGCATGTCAAGTGGTTACTTATTTAAAGGAGCAGGAAAAGATGATAGTGGTCTGGAGTATGGTAGTGGCAGTGAAGGAGAGAAGCAAATGGATTCAAGATATAATTTGGAAGTGGAATTGCCAGGACTGGCTGATGGATTGGATGTAAGAAATTAGATAAAGAAAAGAATCACAGGTGACTGTCAGTTTCTTGTTTCAGCAAACTCAGATTGAAGGTAGTCAGAGGGTATACAGGGACTTCATCAAGTGAAAAGGGGAAAATGAAAGAGGAACAGATTCCAAGAGCTGGAAATTGATTGTGGATGGGTATAGATAGACTTGAGGCTCAGGGAACAATACTCCAAACTATGGTGCTTTGTCGTGCTGAGCAAATTTAAATTAAAAGAAATTGTAAGGCCTTAGTTGCTGCCTCAAAACCAAGGACTTTGTAACCTTCTCTTGTTTCTCCTTTGTCTGCCCCAAGCACAGAGAGGGGCTTTCTCTGCAAGTTCCCTTACCAGACTACGGAAAACTTTCAAAAGAAATGCAATTGTTTAAAAAAAAAACAACAAAAAAACCCTCCCTAGGAATCATTAAATAACCAGGAAAAATTAACCACCACCGACTCTTCTTTTTCAGTCTTTTTTCTGTGAATACTTGTGGCTAAACCACCACCAGATTTAGCTAAGGCTGTACGTCGCAATCTGAAATGATGACACAGCCTGCTGAATCATCTTCTTTTGCCTATATAATAAATGAAGAATTGATGTCTCGCTCACAACTTTCTATCCCGTTATACAGTTGCAGCAACTCATGTATCAGTAGCTCTGCAATTCTGCATTCTCTATATTTAGGTTTAGTAAAAATGGCATTACAGACTCTGAAACATGTTCTTATAGTGTCAGGAAAATACATCTTGGGACACTTTGACACACTAAAATAAGGGATCCTTTCATTTCTTCATTAACGTAACAACAATGTTTGTCAGTTTCTGCTATAGTGATCATTGTGGTATTAACTTTTCATCGATTTAAGTGAGAAATTTCCAACAATTTTTATAAAATAACATGTTCTAGAATTAGTTATCCTAAAAGTATTCTTAACTTTGCCATAAAACAGTTCAGAATCAATCTTAAAATTTGATTTCAAGGATCACTGTTTCATAAAATTCTAGGTGCTTTTTTGTATACTTTACAATATGGTATTTTACCACTATAATTTTGTCCTTCTTGCTTTCTTTTTATATGGTTAAAAGGCACATCAATGATTGCATGATTTCCTCTAATATACAAAGACTGAATATCTCTTCATATAGGATGTATGGAAACGTTCAGCCACAATTGCTTTTAAGAAAGAAACTACACTCTATGGATTCCGCGGTTCCTGCACTCATGGGTTAGTCTGTATCTGGATTAAATTGGGTCAATGGACCATGAACAACTTGTACCATTATAGGCATGAAAGGGCCATTATCATCTATCAGGTCAAAGAGCAGAAGGTGAAAATAAATGATATTGGGGGAAAAAAAAGCTTACTTATTTATAATCTTTAGGTCTTCTAAAACAAATAATACCTTTATTAGTTTCATTTAAGAATATTCCTAGATATGATTAAAATTTTTTTAGATGTCTCACTAAACTTCATAATTACTATTGCTGCTTTCACCAATGCAATTGTTATATCAGAGTTCAGTTATTATGACAAATGAAAACTAAATACTAGCAATTGAGCAAAAGATGCTATGCAGTAACACAAGAATAAAGGCAATGAAAGTTTAAGAACTAAAATGAATACCCTGTAGATTCTGTAACTCCCTGGGGCTTGTTACTCCCTTATAATAAGTTTGATGTTTAAAGGGGATTCACGTACTCTTTCAGGTCACCTTAGCGATAAGTGTATTACCTTAAAATGGAATGAAAGAAAAATGGCTCCTCCCTAAGATTCTCAATTACCATCCTGGAATAACTTGTCACTTGGGAGACTGGGTCAAAACCCAGAATACTGAAGGAATAGCATGATGACATACAAATTTTATAACTTAAAATGAAGACCCGTGGGTTCTACGTTGGGGAAGCAAAGTAGTCATTTAAAAACACTTCCTATTTGGCATCTGTATAAAGGTCACAAAGACCTTGTTTGCTATAGAAACCTCACATGAAGTAAATGTGTTTTACAGGTCTAGTGTTATGGTCTTTTTTTCTCAGCTATACTGAGAGAGCAAAGTGGCTAGTTGCAAACCTTTCTTTTCATTTATTATTGTAAACAAAATTTATAGTATTACCCATCGACTGTTCTTTACTATATACTTTGCACTTTAAGGTATGTACTTGAGTTCCTGTAAGTTGCATGTAAATGAATTCTTTTCATATGCATGCAGTCATTTATTTAACAAGCATTTATTGAGCACAAGTATACATAATAAGATCCTTGAATGATTTTATAGACTTGAAAACAACTTTCCTTAGCATCAAAAAGCTTACAATTTAGTAGGACCCATCGACTGTTCTTTACTATATACTTTGCAC